CACGGAACGGACCCCATGAGCACAAGCAGTGTTCGCCCTGGAGGTGATTGACAGATGTTGCCCTGCCTGGTGTCTCCCAAACCCATCGTGAAATTGAGGTGAAGCCCCTTTGATCTGCTCAGAGATGTACCCAGTGATCCGCACCCGGTTTGTGACAGCGTTTCCATAGTAACACTCATCCCACCACGGAAAAAATAAAGTACAAAATTCTCAAACATCCTGGACACACAAACGCATGGACAGATGGAGACCGGGAGGAGGATAAGTCACCCAATCTGGAAACCATTGATTCATCTAAAGTCTGCCATATTGCTTTGTTTGGAGTCTTCACAGTTTGAATCCAAAGAAGAAGGCTGAGAAAATTGGACAGTTTTTGTTAATACAAACTGGAAAGTGAAATATTTCAAGTGATCCAATTTTTAATGAACAGGAATGTTTTTAAAACAAGTTTATTTGCCCTTGATGCTTGAGCAATTCCACTCAAATATCAATCCAAGACAAAGAAAACAAACCAGATTATTGTTGACTCAAACATCCCCTTTAATACATGGCATCTCTATTAATCAGGGAGAGGACAGACTTCAAAACTAAACCAGTTTTATCTGATATCAGCATCATGCAAAACAACTATTTAATGAGATAACCATGTGAAATAACTTGCAAATCCAGAATTCTTTTAGCAAATATTAGACTGTTTTTTACTATATCTTCTGCAATACTATGTTCTCCCATATACATTTTTTTCATTTCAATAATCATAATTGGGGTGAATAATATCTATTTTGGTTTGCAAGGTTTCTCATCAACTAAAACGTTTGGTTTACTGTGTCACATTTACAGCATGGAAAAGCGGTCCACTAAATATGACCTAAAAAGTAGCCACCTTGAAAATGTCAAGCATATCTATCAGTGTAATAAATATGGCTAAAAGAGGTCAACTTTAGAAAAAATAAACACTCCAACAGAGAGATGATGATGGCTGAGGTAATATTGTATAATTTCCAAAGGCACAATAAACAACATCGCAAGGCACAAAAACGTACCATGGCACACTGGTTGAAAAACACTGCGGTAAAGGTTACTCCCAAACACTTAAAAGAACTCCCAAGTTTCAATTCTCTAATCAACCAGACAGCTTCATTACGGTGTTAACGCTGCTTCTATAGATCTGATCTGCTCTGTGACTACCATAAGCCTTTGAAGTCCAGTCTCACAGCTCTTGAAAGATGTAAAAGTGAAATAGACAACTCTACTCTGAATGTCTATACCGTGGCATTGGAAGGAAATCTCCAAATGAGAGGGAGATGAAAGCGCGGGTTTCTTGCATGGCAGCAGGTAATGGCAGCCTCTTTTGTGTTCAAACAGAAGAGATACTTGTGGAACAAAGGCTAAGATAAATGATAACCTATATCTCCCTGCAGGCGGCACGTCAGAGCCACACTCGGAATGGACGAACAAAAGGAGCACAAATTATGGATTGATTTACACCTCCATCTTTTCTGGGGCTCTACTGCTTTGTATTCCAGTCCCATTCCTCAAACAGTTGCAAAGGTAGTTTCTCTCTGTGGTGCAAAGAGTTCCTTCACATTTTTCCTGGTTTAGGCCCAGTTTATTCCTCATCTAGGTCTAGTCCAAATCAACTCTAACTAAATAATAACTATTTTGGAAACGTATCTGACCAGCTGGTAATATTAAGACAAAACATTTGATCTTTTACAAGCTGAGGGCTGCCGTTTTGAGAGTGAGGGATTACTGACATGGATTTTCTTGAAATCGTTTTTTTGTGGTTTTAAAGTTAGGTACTGCAGCTTTAATTAAACAGAATCTTATTACATTTATACATAAATATTACCACAAAGTAATAAATTCTGGGCTAGGGTTAGAACGAAGAAAAAAATGTAATTATCTTTTCTTATAGAGCTTTTTATTCTCAGAGAACCAGGAGATGCTCTTCGTTGTGATTTTGACAATCAAAAAATGAGTTGTGGTGAGTAAGTGAGCGTTTGTTTTTCCAACCCCCCTTCAAACTGCGTATTTCTGTTCATTTAGTATGAAATTTATCATTTTTAAGTTTGAAATAAACAAACTATTTTAAAAACTATTTGTTCTTTTATGGTGGTTAGATAACTATGGCCTACGCAGGTGGACAAACGTAAGACAAAATATCTGGCCCTCACAGTCACAAGGACTCCATTGTGTATCCATGTAGTGACTCTGATATGTTCTGATTGTCTCTTGATGCGACACGTATGCCTTTCTATGTGTGACGTATCCATGACGTAACAAATGACTATAAAACCATGTCCTGACTTTGTTCTGTCTGAAAAACTGAAAAAACCTGAAACCTTAAAGAAACCGAGAATAAACTTCCAGGAAAGCTTTAGTGCTTCCGATCCCGTCTCTGTGAGGTTCATTTTCCGCACTTTACCTCATTGCAACAACTTGCTCAAAACACTGGTAAATAAAACTATATGAGCGGGCTAAACTCAGATAATACCGAAATAAGAGCAATCGTTTTAGATCTATCGCTGCAGTGCATCATTTTGGACTTTGAACCTTTTGCAGGAGAAGATATTAGAAGCATGGTATTGGTGATAGCTCATCTTCCATTATCCTGTCCATTTCACCTCATGGTTAATACTTTCTGTATTTATATGGATATTTTCCCAGGCACTGCATCACTAACTCCACTGCTGGCGCTGTCTGTTGCCTGGACCATCGCCTCCTCTCACTGCCTCCACACAAACTGAAATACATTTGATTAGTCACAGCCACCACAAATCAGGTCATACATAATTCATCGGTGCAAATGACAAACCAAGCAATCATCAATCCTGGGGCAGCTATCAAAAGAAACTATTCAAATGCTCCCTCATTTATTTATCTGCTTTTGAGGAGCTGCAGACTTCAAGTTTGAATGGCAAATATATCAGATATTAAGATACAAGACATTTGAAAGTGGTTGTTGTTCAAACATGTTTTAAGTGAACTTATTCTACAGTCAAATGTGTTGCTGTGTGTTTATCAGTCATTTGAAATTGAATTTCTATTTGCTTGAAATTAATTTTTTTTTTTTGGGAATGCAACAAACTCCAAATAGGTTTTTCTATTCTTTCAAACATGCAATCAATCGAAGCATCAAGCATGTGTTTGCAAAAGTTGCAAAAAAAAGTTGGACTCAGATAAGGTCATGAGCTTCTCTGACTTGCATCTGCTTCACTGAGCTCTGATCATTCAACCACTTTTGCCTCTTACAGTATATCTGCAAGGGTTATTTCAGACTAATATAAAAATATGAAAACAGCTATGTTTAGCCTGCAGATATTGGCAAAAACAACAGGAAGGCTGGAGATTGTGGAGAGATGTTCTGTTAATTGTCAGAACCAATACTTGAAGCTTGTATATTACTAGACAAGACAGCCTTCATGTTACTTTTCTTTACATGTTACAGCAAGCTCCTGGTTATTCCTTTAATATGAAAAGGGTAGATAAACCAAGACCAATTTGTGAGGGCGCAGGGGCCTGGAATGAGGATATCAGTAGTTCTGAGAGATAAGAAGATCCATGACCATTAAGACAAAAAATGCTCCACCCCGCTTCTGCTCTACCCCAGAAGCGGGGTAGAGCGGGACTAGGGGTGAGGGCAGGTAATGGGGTCCCAAAATTTGGTGTCATGAAGTGTGGATGCGGCCTGTAAATGTCTGATTGCAGATAGTGATATGTGTTGTGACTGTCTGAAAGAAATGTCCATGAAATAATCAAACTGTTTCTCTTTATGTCCTAGTTCCATTGAAAGTTTGGTGATGTTAATTGAAGCTCCTCTGGCGTCATTGTTTGTGGTAGAGGCTGAAGTGAGTTGTGATTAATAAATCTCTTTGTATAAGTTTGGTGGGGGCGGTTCTGTGTCCTTGGTTGCAGCTGGTAGCTGTTAAAAGTCCGATATGTAGTCCAGATCAGAATGACAGTAATACTGAGTGCAAACAACTGCTAAAATCCACTTAATCCAGCCATATAACTGGATAAAAACCAGAATAAAAAGCTTGGTTTGAAAAAAAACTTGTTTGTTGAGCTTGTTGTTGTTGAGAGAAGATTCCAAATAAACATGTCCGCCATCTTGCACATGCTAATGTTTTTTAAAACTGTATATTACAACAAAAGAAAATTGTTAACATAAAAAAAATTGGGCCAACAATTTTGCAATGCATGCCTAGCCTTTGCACCTTAAGAACCCCAATAGCGTCAGACACAGCATCAGACACAGCTTCACCACGAGGTATGGATCTTTACAGTACACAAGTTTAAATAGAGTTTTCATCATCGTTTTCCTACAAAGCGATACTCTGGAGTGGAGGGGTATGGATGTTTTTTTGGTCTCTGTACAAATGGCTTTACATTTTGTCTAAAAGTATTAATTTTAAGTATTTCATGTATTTATTTTTTGTAATCAATCTAACTATTTTAGGTATACATTTCAAAATTGGCAATTTTTTATTCCCAGTGGATTGCCAAATGTCAAATCTATTTTGCAGACTGATGAGGTGATGAAACAAAGTCCTCCTCTGGATCGTATATTACAAATAAATCTTGTATTTGTAATGTTATCACATGTCATCTTTGACATGTGATAATTCTGATTCTGACCTTCGGTTTGTTCTTGGCCAATCAGAAAAGAGTATGTCTCCGGCCATGAACCACTGGCAGCAGACTTCCGATGGTCACTGTGATGATTATTTTTCAAAGAGCGATTAGTATAGTGTGCTATAGGAGTACAGTTTGAGTAGGATGGTCAACGAAGACTATCTTGGTTGTTATTACTGAAGCACAATCACTTGCTGCACACATGCATGGATGGACACGCTGTGATTTCTGCACTGAGGCGAGTTCACTCACTGTACAAACGTTTTTGAGCAGTAAAAATACTTCACAGATAAAGTTTTCAAAGTTTCCAAACAAAGCATTAACCTCTCCATTTCTTTTGTCACTTAAAAACTCCACCACCTCTAAACTTGGCCCTTCACCTGTGCATCTGTGAGCAGGTGTCTCATCAGGCTCAGATTGTCCCTGTGTCCTGGGGCGAAGGGCTCGTCCTCCTCCGGCAGACTGCAGGGAGAGGGCACCATCAGCTGAGCCATGTGGTCATTCAGGCTGTTCAGCGACTGCACAGCTGCAAACACACACAGCATCACAGTCAATGATAGTATATTTATAATGACATTTTCAAAGTAGAGCTGTAGCTCACAGTGCCTAAAGTTAACACACTAATGATCACATACGCTGGACACCAACGCATACACATGAGGGCATAAGAGAACATATGTGTTGTAACTATGTTGAATACAAGAACAGTAATAGTAGGCAATGTAGATGCAGTATGGACGTACAGTAGTCGCAGGAGTAGTAACAGTGACAGTAGCATTAGTGAATATGGGGTAGTTTATTTTTTTGTAGCAGCTTAGCCCACAAACGGTACTGCACCATACATTTCGCTCATAAATGTGAAGTAACTTTTCAAGAATAAAACTTTTTCAGGCATACGACTCTAGGGGCCAAACTGTTGCAGCACCGAGAGCTGTGGAGAAGAGGTTACGGTAGAGCAGAAAATCTATAGACCTGATTCCATTTAGATCCATTTTTGTTATGTGAACTAAACTTAATCTCTTAATTTGATCTATCAAATCTTTTGATCAATTAACCAGAGGTGAAAACATAGAATCATCTCTGTAAGGGAGAATTATTACATCCATAAACTGTACTGAACATAATATAGTAATAACTAGAAGAGGTTTTAACAGGTTTTTTTTAAACTGATCATCGATACAATTACCTTAATTTTGGAACAGCCGATTGCTATTACCGGTAAAATTGACTTGGTAAAACAAATGAGCAATGGGACTAATGGTCACACATGCAGTACATCTTTGTAAGAACCAACTAAACTGTTAATTTGAAGCTAATTGATGGATTTTGTGAGTGACTTTTTGAGCTGGTGTAGAGACAAAGGCACTTGTCCCACTGCTGTCTGCTCTGTTCTCATGTAATCCTCTTTTGCACCACTGAGACGTCATTACCTCCAAATCCTCCCAAAACACAGTCGGACACTCTCCCATTAAATAATCCATTTGTTCAGAGGCCGCAAAAGTAAAGCTTGACACTCTGCAGATCCACCACTGCAAGAGACTGAATGTTCTATCTACTAGACTGGAGGCTTTAATTCAATTCAATTAAACAGCTCTTTTTAAATCTTTTGTCTTAGCTTCAAACAACTCACTATGGGAACTTTCTGAGGGTAGCTTTGTAAGATACTGAAAAATGTTACATGTCGTACTATAGCCATGGGTTTAACAAAGACAAAAAAAACCTCAATGGCTATACAAAGTCAAATTCACCTTATTCACCTTAACGTACTCCATGCTGTTGGGGAGTAACGGAATATATCTAACACTGTCACGTAGTCAGAATACCCTTTTTGAGTAACAGTGTTCTGTTACAGTTACTACTTTAAAGTCTAGTACTTAGAATACAGTTACTTTCTGCAACCCACAGAATTCTGTACATACTTTCTAATATTACCAATGCAATATTAATAAAGGTTTTTAAAGCGTTTTTTAGGACACTCGAAGACGCTTCACATGTCAATATTCATTCATTCCATACATCCACATGATAAACAACTACTGTAGCCCCAGCTCCCCTCCGACCACCACCAAGCATTCACACACACACACACACTAGACTCATTCTCGGCAATGAGGGTGAAGTGTCTTGACAGGAGACATTTGTGGGAGTCGGTGGAGAATGTCTTGTGGTGGGCTCAAACCCAAGACCTTCAGGCTCAAAGGCCAATTCTCTACCAACTGAGCCAATGTCACCCAAAGGTAAAAAAAACTAACAAAAACTAAACATTGCATCCACGCATTACACATTCAACACAAGTCCAGGCACGGCAGGAGGAGTCAGCTTCGTAATCAGAGACCGCATCATCAGCGCACGGGACACGGAAACAATGCAAGTTGGCCAATGCATTCATATTGTGGACGTTCAATCACTAATTCATTTCATTCTAGAACAGGAGAAGCCAAGTCGAAATATAATTATGCAGAGTAAACTTTGTCTACCAGCAACTCACCCTTTATCTGTGGTGCTGTATAGAGCTATTGTAAAAAATAGTCCCATAATAGTCCACTAATATCTCAAAAGATATTAAAAGTCTTTACATTAGAGTACATTATGGCTGTCATGTGAGTCCACTGGAGGATGGCTGCTCTGTCAGTGACGACACAGCCTTGATCTTTCAGTCGGGGCTTCAGCCAAAGTGGGGTTAAGTGTGTTGCCCAAGGACACAACGACAGCAGACGTCAGTGGGAGTTGGTGGAGAGGGTGGAGAGGGTGGAGAGGGTGGAGAGGGTCTTGTGGTGGGCTCGTAACCTTCACTCAAATGCCAATGCTCTACCAACTGAGCCACTGTCGCCATTTTTTTTATTAAGTATTCTACCCAACACTATCCATCCTTTATCTTTACCAGGGAGAAAAATATGTACTTATATAACTTTGTATAACAGATCGCTACTTGAAATCACTGTGATCAGAAAAACTGTTCCAATAAAGGGAAAAATTGACAGCTTACAAATTATTGATGAAAGATGAAAGGAGACTAGTTTTTTGCTGGAACAAGAAAAAATGGTGACCACTAAATTATACAACTGGACTTAAAAAGAAAAAAAAATGCTGTCCGCCAACGGCCATCACGGTTCAGCCATGTTCAAGACGAGAGGGCTGCTTGTGAAGTGGAAAATTTCTGCTGCTACAGGCGAAATCTGTCAAAATGTCAAGTAGAGAGAGGAGTTGAGCTTTACAGAGATCCAGGATTTTACATGACTATTTTAGCATGTAATAAAAGCCCCGAAGCAACACAACAATTGGCATATGACTGAGATGTTTCATTACATATCAATGTGGTGTGGACCTGTGATTGACAGCAGACACCATAATAATAATAATAATAATAATAATAATAGCTTTGTGTTATTTTGCCTTCATTCCTTCTCAAACTTTCGCTGGGGGGGTTGAAGCACTCAGGTAGGCAACTGTAAGTTCTACTAAATGTCAAACCATATACAGTACTACAACAGACTTTTAAACTATATATTACAACTATCTTCATAACTATCCTTCCATCATCCATCCATTTTCTTCCCCTAAATCCATTTCTGGAGGGGGGTTGCAATCAGTCACATAGCACTTGTATCTTTGTAACTGTATTAGAAAATAAAACTCCCATCATACGTACATTATAATGAAAATGCACATTGTGTTTACTTTTTACACAAGTTCAACTGCTGCAGCATGAAACATTGTATTTCTGCTCTTAAAAGCACCTTGATTTCTGTTAAGTTTCCAAAACAAACCAACAAAACATGTGCAGCATGGAACTATGTATTGATCCCAGACAACAATAACCATACACCCATCCAAATACATTTATAATATAAGGTTCGGAATGTGTTTCATTGCTATTCACCCGTTGTCCCATTGTCTGTTTCATGATACAACGACGGGACCTCTGAGCATGGCCTCCTCCATCTACACCTGCGGACTGCCCTGCCCGACCCGCCTGGGAGTGCTTCAGTCCTGTACTGGATCTGTCCACGTTCTGCGGCCGCTGGTCCACGTTCTGTAGCTTTGGTCCTGGATCTAAAGCCTGTCCCTCTGTGGGAGCGGATCCCTTTCTCAATATGGGTCTTCCCGGGGTTTCTCACTTTTTTCCCCACAGTTTTTTGTTGTTGTTGAGTTTTTCCTTGCCGATGCAGGAGGGTCTTCTGTTGTGATTTAGGGCTATACAAGAATACATTGTATTGTATTGTATTGTATTGTTTGGTTTTCACAAGTGCTTTGCAAGACGGCGAGTAATTGTGTTCAAGTTTGTTCACAAAATGTCTTTCTGCTGGAGTAAACTAAACATAATGTTCATGAAGACAAACAGTAACTCTAGCTTTACTAATATATCATCTAAAGTACTATTAAAAGGAGGAATAACAGATGTACCAGTGAAATTCAAAACCAATCTATTTTGTTTAGCAAATTCCACAGTACGATATATTCATAATGTCATTCAATATGCAAACCCCCAAGATGGACATTTTTACATTAATGTCAAAAACATTTCTTCCAGTAACCTTTCTAATCCTCAAACTTTTAAGTATGGCTATTTCATTTGGCACCTGAACTCCCACACTGCATACCGCTCAGATTTTGCACTGCTGAAGTAAAATACAAACAATTAGAATCAGAGGGGATTGTTTTGTGTGGTGGCCTCCTACACACACAGGTGCTGAATCTGAATACGTCTGTCATTACCATCTTTGAGTCCGCCCACTGGCCCATCGCCACATCCACAAAGGCACTAATCAGGCGTGGGGACTTTGAGTCAGCTCTATACAAGCGACAGTCACTCACAAAAATACATGTGTCCAATGGGAAAGATGTCGTTTTGTTAATGTGTGAAATAATATGTAACGCAGCCACAGGAGTTTTGAAAATGAGCCACAAAAGAGTCATAAATATGGTGTAATGATGGTGTGTGATGGGGAATGTATTTAAATGAAGCCTTGTGTTTGAGGAAAGTCGTTTATAGCCTAATTTATTTCACATTGTGTATACTATGATTTTCAGTTTTATAGCTTTTTTTGATCACTTAAAACTATACAAGAAAACTCAAGCAAATATTGTTTGTTTATCGTGGCACCATCGTGGTTTATGAAAGCAAAAATGTCTGTGGTATCTCCAGTCTGGATACATTTTTAAAGGGAAATAGGTATTCTTTGATGATAGTGCGTGAATGTGTGCCCACTAAAATAATTATTTTCTTTTTGCAGTTTTGAACAATGCTTTGATTATCATCTCTCTGAACTCCATGGAGACACCGAAGGGAAATGGATTGTGGATTGTGCTATTTCATATTTAACATGAAATGTCCCCGCTGTGTGACAGATAAAAGATCTTACTCTAGTGCTATAATAATAATAATAATATGAAACCTTTTTTTGTATGGCACTTTTTGAAAACAATGTTTACAAAGCACTGCACAGTCAGCCTAATAATCAATAAAACAGTCATAAGAATACAAAGTCAAAATAGTACTGTATAATTTAAACATGTGTTTTTCAG